AAAATGTTTTTACCTGTCACAGGCGTGACATCTATATAGTAGGTATATAAAAACCCGCTCGTATGCAAATGGAACGATGTGTAAAAATTTCAAAGCAATCGGTGAAGAATTTTCGGAGATTATCGATTTGGAACAAAGGAACATTTACATTCATATTTATATAGCTTTAAGCATTAGTTAGGTTAGGTGTTTAAGTTCTGTTGGTGATTATTTGCATTTTTAGTACGTGGGTGAAGCATTTACAGCGTTGGGGTTCGAACAAAAATCGTCAGCGAAGCATCTCTTGCGGAAGTGTTCGAATGTCATCAGTTGTGAGCCGTGTGTAAACAGTTTTTCATTCATAAACAGGGGGTTTGGCGGGTACATGGATTGGACTGTGGCCTTTGTTTATGAGGAATATGGACTCTTTTGACTCACTTCCAAAGATATGTGATGTTATTTCGTATCATCGCCTTGATTAATATGCAGATAATAATATTTTTGCGCAGATGATTCAATAGTGGTTTTGGGTTGTCAATGTGTCACAGTAGTAAACAAATTTAGTCACTAATTTGGGATTTGGTGAAGACAGACTCAATACTCGGTTTTAATGTAAATATCATGGACCCTCCAATAGGCTCATAAGCCCCTTAGAGCAGTTGATTGAAGGTTGTGAGGCAAGATAATACGTAGTTTATGCATGATTAATGAGAGGGGAGGTGGAGGTCCTGTTGAATGGACGGTGATCTGGTGCTGTGACCTCATTGACTGACTGGGAGTGGTCGGTAGGGAGAAAACTCAGTTCTCTCTTGGGCGTACTGAAGGAAGGTTGACCCTAAATGTTAACTGGGATTTAAAACTATGGAGAGAGTGTTTGATGTGCTTCAGTATTGTCCAGTCTCTAAAATTGTATAAATATATGTTTATTCATTCAGTCTGATTGTGTTTCCTAAGTCTGCTTACTTCAAATGGCTTCAACCACTGTTTGTCAACAAGATTTCTGGCTTTGTAGATTTTGAGTTTCGCCCACAGGATGAATATATATATATATATATATATATATATATATATATATATATATATATATATATATATATATATATATATATATATATATATATATATATATATATAATTTTAATATGTTGATAGAAGCTTATTAGAACTGACCGAACTTATATACCCACGCATCATAACGCCCCTCCCCCCCCTCCAAATACACAGTTGGGTACCTCGCAGATAAGGGGTCGAAATCTTAAGAGCCCGGGTTTGATTCCCGGCTGAGGCAGAAACATATTGGCCAGAATATCTTTCACCAGATCACCTAGCAGTAAATAGGTACCTGGGACTTAGCTGCTACGGGATGCTTCCTGAGATGTGTATGTGTGTGTGTGCGTGTGTTATAGAGAAATAAATGTTGTAGATATAATAGGGAAAAAATAGAATGGCTAGAAAGGAGAGGTTCTAATGTTAATAGCTTCATTCTGCTCACACACAAAATCGATACAAATAGCAAATACATACACATACAAACACACATACACAAGGACAATACAACAACAAAAATCAGTACCTTCATCCTATGTGAGTGTTAGTTACCCACAATTATATCCCACTTATTTACACAAAGTTGCTGTTCTGTTTTAGTTGGCATTAGAAAACTTTTATGAAAGGGATGAAAAGGAGAAAACTTCCTGTATACAAGTCTTGTGTATCAAGAAAATCTTTTCTAAAACTCGGCATGAAAGCAAGAAGACCATAAAGAGAAGTGATGGGACAATTATTTATTTTTACCTAAAACAGATACTTAGCAAGTAGTGAACAGGACTCGTATACTGGTGTTTTGGGTAAACATTGTTCCATTAAACAGCAAGTAAACGAGAGCTTTGTGGCTAGCAGTCACCCACACATTCGAAAAACACACCACAAGGGAGCAAGCACTCTCACACACACTCACAAAATCGAAAAGCAGATGCACAATTTGCGCAAGGATTTAGAAATACTCAAGCACTCGAGAAAAACACAAGCGAAAAAGAAACAAGCACTCTCAGTTTCCCAGCATACTCGAGTTGTCTAAGAACCGTTGAGCAAGTACTCTGGAGCACACACCCTGTACACACACACTCGAGAAATGCAAGCATGAGACAGCAAGCACAAACACAAACACTGACGGGCACTAACGTGATAACAATTTTCACGCCTTTATCCTTTTACTGCTTGCTGCTGGGGCCCAGATTTAATGAGATAGGAATCATACTAACATACACACACAAACATAAAAAGAATGTATAAAAGGCTGTTACAAAAGTTGAAGCAACAGGTAGGAGGAAGAGGTAAAGTGCTTCAGTGGATAAGTGAGTATCTCAGCAACAGGATAAGCGAGTAACGGTGAGGAGGGAGACATCAGAGTGACGAGATGTCACCAACGGGGTTCCACAGGGCTCTGTACTCGGACCAATCCTGTTTCTAATATATGTAAATGACCTTCCAGAGGGTATAGACTCATTCCTCTCAATGTTTGCTGATGATGCAAAAATTAAAAGAAGAATCAAGACAGATGAAGATAGACAGAGACTACAATACGACCTGGACAAACTGGAGGAATGATATAGAAAACGGCTACCTAAGTTCAACTCAGAAAAGTGTAAAGTAATGAAATTAGGCGAAGGGAGCAGGAGGCTGAACACAAGGTACAATCTGGGAGGTGAAATTCTACAAGTCAAATAGAAATAAAGATCTGGGGGTTGATATCACACCGAATCTGTCCCCAGAAGCCCACATCAAAAAGAAATTATCAGCGGCATATGCTAGACTGATTAACATAAGAACTGCCTTTTGAAACTTGTGTAAGGAATAATTCAGCACCTTGTCAGACCAATCCTGGAATATGCAGTTTCAGCCTGGAGTCCATACATAACTAAACACAAGACAAAGTTAGAGAAGATTCAGAGGTATGCCACCAGACTGGTCCCAGAAATGATAGGTGTGAGCTACGATGATAGTCTAAGGGAGCTAAACCTCACGTCCTTTCACACAGAAGAGTAGGGGGAGACATGATAACCACCTACAAAATTCTCAGGGGAATTGACAAGGTGGGCAAAGACAAACTACTTAGCACGGATGGAACATGAACAAGGGGAAACAGATGGAAACTTAGTACCCAAATGAGCCACAGAGACATTAGAAATAATTACTTAAGTGTCAAAGTAGGTAATAAATGGAATGCACTAAGCAGTGATGTGTTGGAGGCAGACTCCATACACAGTTTCAAATGAAGATTTGATAGAGTCCAATTGGCTCATGAACCTTTACACCAGTTGATTGACAATTGAGAGGCCGGATCAAAGAGCCTGAGCTCAACCCCCGCAAGCACAACGAGCTGAGTACACACACACACGAAGTTGACTGTAGGAGACCACAGAGTGAGCTTGATACGCTCCATCGACCGAAAGACCGAAGAAATCCATTCTTAAAACATTAAGAAATAAACGAAAACATATAGAGATACGAGACTAGACCTGAGCCCAGCACCTAAGGAGCCCACCAACACTGAACTGCTAAACGAGTCCAAACTCACCACGATGGAGGGGAGGGAGGAAAGGAGTTATCAGGAAAAATCGTCAAGCTATTACGACTATATAGCTCTTGGAAGGGGGGTCAGGATAAGGCTTTGGAATGGGACGGGGTGGAAGGAATGGTGACCAACCATTTAGACGGTCGGGGATTGAACGCCGACCTGCATGAAGCGAGACCGTCGCTCTACCGTCCAGCCCAAGTGGTTGGGTTTCACCACGATGGAGTATAGTCCACTCTAAAGGACAGTCGTAAAATCATGCAATATCATGAAGAAAACGAAGTGGATGGAACAAGATCCAATGTTCAAAAGAAGAAATGTTAGCAGCCAGGGGAACGACCAGAGGAACGACCAGAAGTCACAACCAGATCCCACGAAAGGAATCTGGTGATACAGATGAGCCCAGAGACGGAAGGAGAAACTTTTTCCGCCCCAAGTATATGTAACGGGCTTCAAGAAGTTACCATTGAGATCAGGTTAATAAGTAGCTTTAAAAGGAATTACGAATTACAGAAGGAATGATTGTCATTTTGTTGACTGACAGGATATGGAATAGCAGGACTAAGAAGCTTTTGTTAGACCGCCTGTAGACCCAACTAGGTCAGTACAACTAAAACACACACACACACACACACACACACACACACACACACACACACACACACACACACACACACACACACACACACACACACACACACACACACACACACATGCAGGGGTCTGGTAGTGTAATGGACAGCGCACGGGACCCGTAATCCTGTAGCCCGGGTTCCATTCCCAGCGCCGGCAGAGAAAAATGGGTAGAGTTTCTTTCACCTGATGCCCCTGTTACCTAGCAGTAAATAGGTACCTGGGAGCTAGACAGCTGCTACGGGCTGCTTTCTATGTGTGTGTGTGTGTGTGTGTGTGTGTGTGTGTGTGTGTGTGTGTGTGTGTGTGTGTGTGTGTGTGTGTGTGTGTGTGTGTGTGTGAAAAAATTTTTTACTAGTTAGTAACAGTTGATTGATTGACAGTTGAGAAGGGGGCCGAAAGAGCAGAGCTCAGCCCCCCAAGCACAACTAGGTGAATACAACTATATGAATACTCACTAGCACTGCTGTTATAATTACTATTCTGCTTATTCGTCAATATATATCACCATTCTATGAGCCAAATGCATTGAATTCATGTCTAAAAATGTAAGTTTGACTTATGTTCCTGTACAACAGTTCAGTCCAGCTGGAACTATTGCGGTTTGCATAAGCTGTTGCGAGACTTGGATTTGGAACCAACCAATCCCCAAGCTCAGTAAATCCGACAATAAACTCCTAATAATTACCGTAATTAATGCAAGAAATTGCAAGGCTTGTGAACATGGAAGAAAACGAGCAGAAGCTACAGGGTGACTGGAACTGACTGAACGAATGGTCTTACAGGTGACATGACAGTCCAACGTCAAGCAAACATGAGTATTACAATCATTTCTGGAGGACTGGAACCCCAAACGAAAGGTATCAAGAGATCATCAGCAGCCACCATCACTATGATGGCTGGCAAGCTTGCCAGCAACCAGTACTACCAGCACTAAATAGTTATTACAACTCCACCAACAGTTGACAAACACCCTACATACCACCACCACATCATCACCAGCACTCTACAACCAGCTTACCACCATAACCACGCTACCAGCATCCAAACCCCTAAGACAGGTTCCCTAACTACCACAACCACTTCACCACCACCATCACCACTGTACGAGCAGTTGCAGGTCAAGATAGTGCAACAAGCTATGAGGCTCCAGCAGCAGTAGGTCAAGGGGATGCAACATGGTATGAAGCTCCAGCAGCTGCAGGTCAAGGGGTTGCAACATGGTATGAGGCTCCAGCAGCAGCAGGTCAAGGGAATGCAAAATGGTATGAGGCTCCAGCAGCAGCAGGTCAAGGGGATGCAACATGGTATGAGGCTCCAGCAGCAGCAGGTCAAGGGGATGCAACATGGTATGAGGCTCCAGCAGCAGCAGGTCAAGGGGATGCAACAAGCTATGAGGCTCCAGCAGCAGCAGGTCAAGGGGCTGCAACATGGTATGAGGCTCCAGCAGAGTCCATTCCATCCAGTAATTACCCCCAGCCACCACCCATGGCCTCAGTCTTTGTCACCTGATCTGGTGTTGACACGGACAACGTTGCTCGCGCCCCTCGCCTCCACCTCACTGTCACCTGAACCCCCTTTTCCCTCTCCCTCTTCATTCATGTGTTTTACCCTTTACTGTCCGTTATCTTTCTCCGCTATTGCTTCCTTCTTGTATCACTTCCGTTTGTTATTTATTAGTTCGTCTCTGCCCAAGATTCAGGAGTTTGCTGTTGACACTCTAAGAAAATATTGACAGAGAGACTTGAAGTCTTTAATTGTCCTCCAAATACACCTTATGTATTTGTATAAAATCTTTAATTGTCCAGATGGACGCCGCCTGCAAGCCGTACCAACACACACTGAACTACAGCTAAAAAAAACTGATTTTAAAATTCAAGAGATCATAATAGATCTTCAGGGAACGTTTAAATTTTCGGTTGGGTACCAGTTAGCTAGTTCTAACTGCAGGGCGCCTGACAGCTGAGTGATCAGCGCTTCGGGTTCGTGTCCTGAGGTTTCGGGTTCGATCCCCGGTAAAGGCGAAGACAAATGGACAAAAAGTTTCTTTCATCCTGATGCCCCTGTTGTCTAGCAGTAGATAGGTATCTGGGAGTTAGACAGCTGCTACGGGCTGCTTCCTGGGGATGTGTAACAAAAAGAAGGCCTGGTCGAGGACCGGGCCACGGAGACGCTAAGCCCCGAAATCATCTCAAGATAACCTCATGATAACCTTCTAATATGCTTCATTATTGTGAGCATCGTGGTCTAGTTGGTAGAGTTCGGAGCCTGATGAATGAAAATAGATTCAGTCTATTTCATCCGAATCGCTTGCATAGTTACACATTACTGATGTTATACTTTGTAATTCAATGAGCTGAGTGTAGCCATCTCTTGTAAGTCAATGAACCAGGTGTTGTCATCTTTTGTAAGTCTATAAGTCGAGTGTTCCATATAAGTCAGACAGCCTAGTTTTGATGTCAAACAAACGTGAATTTTGCAGCGTTCTTAATTTTACCACATTATTTCAAAGCTGAGAAGAACTGATGAGCAGAAATCAGGCATACTTTACGGGCCGTCCTGTCATACCCAAAACTCCCACCCATTTGGGCTGGACGGTAGAGCGACGGTCTCGCTTCTTGCAGGTCGGCGTTCAATCCCCGACCGTCCAAGAGGTTAGGCACCATTCCTTCCCCCTGACCCATCCTAAATCCTTATCCTGACCCACTTCCAGGTGCTATATAGTCGTAATAGCTTGGCGCTTTCCCCCTGATAGTTCCCATCCCTGTTTGCAATGCTAGAAACAACAGAAAAACTAAACAGTTACCGTTGTACACAAAGGCTCTCTAGTCAATGGTGCAAGGCACTCAACTGGGGGCATTTACGACTCTTACACTGTACTAATTTGTTTGTCAGCGCTAATTTCCTGTGTTTTGAAATGCGGTATCTCTGGCTGCAGCCTCGGGCCTCAGTATAGCAGTGTCCTCACGCTCATTCTCCCGGGATAAACGAGTTTAATTACATTGGATTTGGGGGAATTGCGAGACTCAAGCAGTGTTATCGGGGTGTGAACGCCTCTGGAACTTTGATCTCCACTATACTGGTTGAGGAAATGAACTATCGCAAAGGGTCCTCTTAACCCTATGGCTAGGATGATCGTGGCTCTGATCATCCTAGTTAATATATATATATATATATATATATATATATATATATATATATATATATATATATATATATATATATATATATATATTGGTAGCAGTCTTTCTTGTAAACATATGTTGTTTAATATGACCGAAAAGGTAAGATTAATTATTCTAACACGAATTTTCTCAATATTTCTTATGTTTCTTTTCACTGTCGATGGGAATTGACAAATCAATTCTCCAAAACTCATTTTTTTTCTTGTCTGACGCGACACTTGAACCCGTTTCGTAATAACTTATTACATTTTCAAAGACTTTAGTTTACACACACAACTGTAACCTGTAAACACCTCTATACTTATACTCGCATTTGGGTGAGGTGATTGACATTTACACAAGCCACAACACGAACCAATGGGTATAAAATCATTAGAATGGAAGTAACTGCAGAAAGCCTATTGGCCCATAGCATCACCACTTCCTCTTGATGTTTCTATATAGGTTCGGGTAGAATATAGTTGTGCATTAATTCGCAGTTGATTGCGGGTGTTGACTTTTTAATGTGTAGTGCCTCGCAGACGTCGAGCCGCCTGTTATCGCTGTATCTATCGATGATTTTTGTGTTGTTTGTTAAGACTTCTCTGGTGATGGTCTGGTTGTGAGAAGAGATTATATGTTCCTTGATGGAGCCCTGTTGTTTAAGCATTGTTAATCGCCTGGAAAGAGATGTTGTTGTCGTGCCTATATACTGAGTTCTTTGGGTCTTACAGTCCCCAAGTGGGCATCTGAAGTCATAGACGAAGTTGGTTTCTTTCAAGGCGTTCTGTTTGGTGTCTGGGGAGTTTTTAATGAGTAGGTTGGCCGTTTATTTGTTTTTGTAGTAAATTGTCAATTGTATTATCAGATTTTTGTCTGTGTTAATAATGTAATTCAGGACACTTTCCGCTTTTGACAAAACTATGCTTGTAAATGTTCGGGCAGCCACTATCAGCATTAATGCATATGACAGCGGGAAGAAATGGTGCCCAACCACTTGGACTGTCGGGGATTGAACGCCGACCTGCATAACGCAAGGCCATTGCTCTACCGTCCTGCCCAAGCGGTTGGATCAACAATTCTTGCTTTCACCGATCGATGAACCAATCAGGAAGTTAGTTAATAATCATAATTACGAGGGATTTAGAAGGATTTCAGTGGGAGTCAAACAGATACAAACCTGCGAGAAAGATCTTGATGATTGTTAATAGCTGGCTTAGAGCAACGCAGTCACGGAACGGGACGCACAGACCGCGTGACGCACCAACGACGTGAGACAAACGACGTGACGCAAAAACGAAGTGTTTCTTACTGCCAAACTCTCACATATTACTGTCCCACTCCTACATATTACTGCCCCACTCCCACATATTACTGCCCCACTCCCACATATTACTGTCCCACTCCAACATATTACTGTCCCACTCCTACATATTACTGCCCCACTCCCACATATTACTGCCCCACTCCCACATATTACTGCCCCACTCCCACATATTACTGCCCCACTCCCACATATTACTGCCCCACTCCCACATATTACTGCCCCACTCCCACATATTACTGCCCCACTCACATATTACTGCCCCACTCTCACATATTACTGCCCCACTCTCACATATTACTGCCCCACTCCTACATATTACTGCCCCACTCCTACATATTACTTTGAATGTTTTATGTTAAATGCCTACTCGCACAGGTACTATATATTGGAATTATAAAACATTTAGTCTAACACTAAGAAAATCACATTGAAACACAAGGAATCCCACAGGAACACACAATAATCGCCGTGAAACACTAGAAATCCCACAGAAACGTGCAAAACCATAGTGTAGTCACAACAAATTCCCCAGAAACACGTAATAACTGGAGTGAAACACAAAAATCCCACAGAAACAGGCCATAACCATAGTGAAACACAGGAAATCCCACAGAAACAGGCCATAACCATGGTGAAACACAGGAAATCCCACAGAAACACGCAATAACCGTCGTGAAACACAAGATATCCCACAGAAACACGCAATAACCGTCGTGAAACACAAGAAATCCCACAGAAACAGGCCATAACCCTAGTGAAACACAAGAAATCCCACAGAAACAGGCAATAACCGTCGTGAAACACAAGAAAATCCCCCGCAACACAACGCATACACCCGCAATATCGAAAGCTTTCAAACCACTTCCTAAAACACTTAATATATTTCTTTTTAATTGCCTTCCAGTTACTTCCGGCCGACAGTAGTGGCGTGAGTTATTAATTACCACTCTCGACCTAAATCACTTGGCCCAGCTCAGTGTGGTGTTTACAACTGTGACCAGACATTACACCCTAAAATATTGTGTAACATTCGATCACTAATTAAAAATATATAATAAAAGTATTAATAATAATAATATTATAATAATGCTAATAATAATAATAATAATAATAATAATAATAATAATAATAATAATAATAATAATAATAATAATATTATTATTATTATTATAATGTACATAAATAAAATTGGAATTGTTCGTTGGTTCAAAATCGCTAATCTCCAAAAGTTCTTCACCAATTCCTTTGAAATTTTCGCACAACGTTGCATTCAAATTGTCGCATCTATTATATAGATGCCACCCCTGTGACAGGTAAAAACATGCATTTTTGAAAAACAGCCCCCTCTGTTGCACATAATAGCAACATGCACGCTAATCTAAATATGTCTCGAATTTCATTTCAATGTTTACGATTGCATTGATAAATTGTATTTTCATACCTTCGATTTATTTTATTTTTTATTTGATTATTTTGTGTGACATTGTGTTGGAATTGAGCTGTGTTGCTTACCTTACCGTTCATTTCGTAAGTTTATGTATAGATGACACACCTGTGACAGGTAAAACAATGTTTTCTTGAAAAACAGCGCCATCTGTAGCATGTAGGAGCAACACACATGCTATACTAAATATGTTACAATTCCATTTCAATGTTTCTGATTGCATTGATAAATGGAATTTTCTTAGATTTTGATTTATTTTCATTTTGATTTAATTATTTTGTGTGAAACGCAATTGAGCTGTGTTGTTTACCATACTATTAATTTCGTGAATATAGTTAATTTTTTATTTTTTCATATTTTCATTTCATTTTTTAGCTGTTTTTCTTATATTTTAGTGATGGAATTAATATATTAATTTTCTGATTGGAACATCAGACCATTTGGGAAACCATCGGACGAGGGAGTGGGGAGGACGTGGGCACAAGGGAGGGGGGAATTGTTGGGAGGCGAGGAGAATGATGAGGGGGGAATGGTGGGGAAGACTGGGAGACAGGGGAAGGTTGCTGTGGCTCAGCAA